CAAACACTACTTCATCTCGAGGTTGTGTCCGGCGTTGGGCAACGCCTTGACTCACGTCGAGGACACCCTGATGACAATGGCGGAGCTCTTTGACAAGGCCGCGCAGATCATTGTCACGAACAAGGAGGCCAAGAACCTCAACCGTTCGTCTGCGGCAGGCCCGAGCAGAGATCAACATCAGCCGAAAGTGGCCGTGGTCGTGGCGGCAATGCCAACCGACCAATCTAGCGAGGCCGTGTCTGCCAATGAAGGGGACAGACTCGCAGTCACCCGGGATGGTGGCCACCCCGGCAGAGGCCGAGGACGCGGCAAGCCGAAGACAAACACCACATCTATTCCCGGGCCCGGCGCAGCAGCTCCAGCCCCATGGTCCCACTACGGTCTCTCCAAGCAAGCATACAAGCAACGCACGAGATTCCGCTATATAGATTGGTTATTCTTGGACAAACGTATGGAAAAGCTGAACTTTGAACCTATCTTCAAATGTCGGGCGGGAACTTGCATAGAAACGCTACAACGAGGATGCAGATAAATGGCACACTGACACCTGCCATTACACTGCACAGATCAGTTAGACAAGAGGACCCAATCACCCCCTTTCTTTTCCTCTTGGGAATGAAAGCATAGCAGCAAACCTACAGGCTAACAAGAATCTTTAAAAAATCCATTATCTCCTCTATCCCTGAGGAGGCCATCCTAGTATGTTCGCTGTTCGAAGCCGATCTGACAGTGATGCTGGAATCGTCAGCAGAAAACATCAAAGAAATGCAACTGCTCATGGACCACTTCTGCAAAGCATTAGACATGACCATAAATTGGGGAAACAAGACAAGGGGATGGTGGATCCACTACCGAGGGGGAAGGCTGTCAGAGCAGCCTAGAATTAAATGGCTTCCCGAAAACAGCCCCCACTTGGGTTCTAGGGGCCATTCTAACGGTATAGGGACGACCAATCTCTAATGACGACTAGCTGCCCAAGCCAGTCCTCAAAAAAATTGATTGCATGGAAAGATAATCATACCTCATTGTTCGGGAGAGCCTTGATCATCAACAATGTTATACTCACATGATTATGGTATCAGACAACAAGACGGCCACTCAACCAGGAAGCAATGGAATCCATCAAATGACAACTGGCAGCATTTTATGGCGACATAACCAAGGCGTACGAATGTGATTAGCAAGGTGGCATAGGACTCTTTGACACAACCAAAAACAGAAGGGCACCAGCACAATAATTAGTAATTACTCTTCTCCAAGCAGATCATGTGGAGAGAGTTGGCCTCAGAACAGATCACCAGATTGGCCCCACCAGCTCCAGCTTTTGTATAACCGCTGACATGGCCGGAGGATCGCTACCGGGCATCCCAAGGAGATCCATCCAAGGGGCTGCCTCGTCACCCAGGAGCGCAGCAAAGCACGATTTGGTCAGAGACAACTTCTGGCCAGAGACAACTGGTGGAGCCTACCCCTACTGGACAAGGTGCCACCAGAGAGATGGGACGAGGTCTCTAGGCAATCCCCTATTTGGGAACAGGTGGATCATAGATAAACAAGGGTGCACATACTGTAGCTTGGACCTCCCATAGAAGGGACGGGTAAAGAATGGAATTTTACAGGTAAGGGACGTGTGGAACCAATCGACAAAAGATTGGAAAACCGGGCAGCAACTACAACACACTCTGAAACACAGCCACAACATGGGTAATAACTTGGGAACCCTTATTTACTCACTCCCCCTGGCCTGGGTCCAAATTCTGGTCCAAAGCTTGAAGAGATCGACTGGATAGCTCTCAAAAGTGATCCGGGGGTGATGGGAAACCTGGTGGAGGCGAGATCAAAAGGGGCCTTTGTCGACCTGTTCCAAAGAAACAGTCATAATGTCCTAATGAGGAGTGTCCCAAGGAGGTACGGTGGGTTGACAAGGAAGGGTTATACATAATCAGGGTCCTGCACCACGAACAGCAATGGATTACCTTCTGACGAGTGATCTCTTAAGCACGAAGTAGACGTCAGTCGACTAGGACGGTCTCAACCAAGCGTGAAACCATGATTAATCCTAGTTCCTTAGACATGCAACATAGAAGATCGTTTAGTGATCCAAAACGATTAGATCGATAGACCAAAACCAACATGAAACCGACCGACTAGGTCGGAATTGATAATGATACAGCCGACATAAATCCCGGCCCTGAGTGGGAGTAACTTGATGAGATGGTTCGCACTCTGCAGCTGCCCCTGGACCTGGCCTGCTGACTCTGTCCAACCTCACGATCACATGTCCAGAGAAGAAAGCAGCCAAAAAGTAGACCTCATCAGCTTATGGGATCGGGAGTAAATCCCATATACAGAATGCTCCGCCCGGAAGTTAATCTCAGAGACAAACTGATCAACGGATGGCAGGAACAGCTTAACGTAGATAGGTCAGCACTCAACAAAATTCGCTTGTTCGGAGGAGCTAAAATGAAACCTGCATAAGTGTCCTCTCTGCAGTGGCAGACAGAACACAGGTGTTTGCTGACGAGCAACTAGCTGATCGACCACACCTCTATGGAGCAGAAACGGATACCAATGTTGTAAAATTCTGGAAACCATAGAACACATCTTCGTTCAGTGTCCGGCCTCAGTCCTCACTTGGAGATGGTGGGACAGAATATGGAGGCAACTAGGGACCAGTATTGACCAGCCGTGGGACTGGAAGGCCTTCCTGTGTGGAGCCTGGCATTGGCAACAGGAAAACACACTTGCCGATAATATGTTTGAGTTGGGGCGCAAATTGATCCTCTTGGCTCTCTGGTAGAAACGGTGCACATACGAATTGGTTTTCGAAGGTGTAAGGCTGGGAGGGAAGAAATTGACTGATGTGATCCAACATCACTTGACATCCAAATGGGAAGACGTGAAAAGTTTCTTGGAAGATTGGCTGGGGGGTGAATACGGGGGTTAGATCACCACGGTCCTATGGAGTCGGGAACAGCAAGGTGATCAAGGAGCTGTCAGAAGGGACTACAAGCCCATCGACAGAGACTGGACGAAGACTGAGGCATCGGTGCAGCTGAAGACACCTGCAGAATTTCCTGACATGTTCCTGCCACACAAGCTCTCATTAGTGGACCATCAATGGCTCGAAACTTTGAAGGAAGATCCCTGAACACCTACCAGAGGGGGAATGGCGAACTGCAGAGTTGAGCAACGAGGGGGTGGGAATGACCCAACAAAAACATTAGTCACAAGCTAGTTTGCAATTCCAGATTTGGAAGCCCTGAAGGGTGAGAGGCCTGGTATATAACGGGCGGTCTGTTGCAATGTCAGTGACACTCTTACACATCAGGCAGCCACAGACACTCATTGACAAGCACAGACTATCTTACTCTGACACTTTCTGCCATTCTTTTCTACCATTACACAGTCATCCTTTTGTACCGTAATGGGACACTGGACCTGTTTTCCAGCAGGTGCAGCTCCCCACCAATAGATGGAGCCTTCAACAGGGACCCACTTAAAGGGGATGCTCTTATCACCCCATAAAGTGGCACCCTGAACGAGGTTTAAAAGATTAAAAAAATACATAAATAATTAGAAAAGGGCATACTTCCACTGCGATTTTCCTGGACGTATCTTGCCTTGATTTGGTCCAAATTTCACCGAGTAGCAAACGCTCATGCATCTCTGCTTTGGATGGTTGTCATAAAGCATTTGCTTGTTTGCGGTCAAAAAGATAATATGAAAGTTCTTTTATATGTTATATTAGTCTTTTAAACTCTTTTTGCATGCTTTACATTGTCCTGCTTCAGGGAACCTTTCCTCTTCTTTTGTTCTTGCACTCAGCCATTGCTTCCGCGGTACGAGGATACCAACACCTTGAAGCTCTGTGGAAGCTTGTGTAACAGATATACACGAAACCAGGAAAGCAGCACCAATCTCGGGTCCCCTTGGGTCTCGTCAAAAGCAAAACTGGGTAATGCTCCCAGATAGATGCATAACCAGGTAGACTGTGAGGACCTCGGCCTCGTTCTTTTTCCATCAGAATATCAAGCCTTGGGCACTGGGCCCCTTAAAAAAAAAAAACGCCGCCACTAGCACACCACCTCTGCCCCCCCCACCACTACCACCAAATCACCGCTGCTCCAGGGAACCTTTCGTCTAAGACTTCTTTTGTTCTCGCATTCAGCCATTGCTTCCGCGGTACTAGGATACCAAGACCTTGAAGCGCTGTGGAAGCTTGTGTAACAGATATACACGAAACCAGGAAAGCAGCACCAACGCCACCACTATCACCACCTCTGCCCCCCCCACCACTACCACCAAATCACCACTGCTCCAGGGAACCTTTCGTCTAAGACTACTTTTGTTCTCGCATTCAGCAATTGCTTCTGTGGTACTAGGATACTAACATCTTAAAGCGCTGTCGAAGCTTGTGTAACAGATATACACGAAACCAGCAAAGCAGCACCAACGCCATCACCACCTCTGCCCCCACCACCACTACCACCAAATCACCACTGCTCCATGCAGCGCCAGCAACAATGATGACAACAATGACAATGACGTATATTATATAGACATACGTACATTTATATATATATATATGACGATATATATATATATATATATATATATATATATACGATATATATATATATGACGATATATATACATATATGCATTCAAAGTTTCTGAATTTACATCTCTGTGCACCTTCCCCACGCATTAACATGCGCTAATCTACATCATTCATTTTCCTGCTCAAGTCAGGGGATTGACTACATGTATCGGTATTGCTTCCGCAGCGACTGCTCTTCAGCCTGTCTCCTTGATGACCGGCTGCCTGCTGTAAGATCATCGTATGCGACGTATAGAATGGAGTTTCCATACAGCTATCTCATTTGGTTTCGAAACTTTCGATGCTTGATAAGTTCGCGTTGCGTTCAGAGTGCAGGTATAAAGAGTTAGATACATGAATGCAATGGAAGGAAAGAAATAGCGAGTAAATCTCTCACCCAATATATTTGACAACTCTTCCTGCGTCACTTGTGACTGGCGAAACGGTAAGAAGGTTCCAAAATGGTTTTCCGTCCTTCCTGTAGTTCAACAAGCGCCCACAGTAGGACTTTCCTTCCTTAATGGCCTTTTTGAGTCGACCAACCTCTGCCCTGTCTGTGTCCTTTCCCTGCAAAAATCGGCTGTTGCAGAGCATCATGCCACATAAATGTTAGATATGAGTGTGACAACCTCTTTTGCGTTTTTTCCCACCCAATTTTCAGGTTGGCAGGCAAGCCCTCACCATTGTATATGATCTTTCTGCTGCCATAGCTGCAGGAACCATGCATCGCAAAGCGCAAAGGCACAAAGAGAGAGGCAAATGGCAGTCCAAGGCACATGACACACTGGACTTAGTCACCAATTAAGCCAAGTTGAACTTGCATACATTTGAATGATTTGATATCGTATACATGGGCAGCTTTTATCCACATCAAATCCACAACCACATCTACATCCACATAATATTCAAAAGAAGAAGCTGGCCCTGCAAGACAGTGCCTTTGGGCGAAGGGAAAACCAGCACCAGGCAGTAGTTCGACTGGCTGGCGGGAAAAGTTTCCCCTGGCAGCTTGCTTTTGTCATTTTGCAACATTTCCGGGTGGCAACTTGCTTTTGTCATTTCGCGATGTTTTTTCTTTTTTTTTTCTTTTTTTTTAAGCTACATTCTTCTCTCAATTTCACCTCACACTACCTACCTACCACTGCCCCTAATTTTTTCATTCACGGTAGAAGAGCTCCACTCGTGATGGAATCAGATGTCCATTCGTGTTGCTAAGTGGATTGCAGTTTTAACCAATTGGGCAAGAGTGTCTAGCCGAGGGTCCCGCTAGCACTTTGGGCGAGACTCCACCTATTGGTGGGGAGTATCACCTGCTGGAAAGCGGGTCCAGCGTCCCTTTAACAAGATAGAACAAGAATATTCAGGGATGGCTGCTGATGTCTGCTGTGATTGTACCCAACTCCCCTGTCTATTCTTCCATCAAGGACCTAATTCCACTCTTTGGATGGCTCCCGCACCTCTTCACCATTCCTTATGGTGCCAGATCTCACCTGTCAAACTAGTGCTGAGCTTCCTGTGTCTCGGGAGTGGGCTTTGAGGGAGGGGGTGAACCTAGACTATAGCCGCCTGTCCAAACTCTCTTAAGATCATCCCTCCATTCCGTACCACTGCATGTCCACTAGACAGTTTGATGGAAGGGGGAAGAAGTCAGGGAATTCTTCGGGGGGTTTCAATGGGATTGCTGCATCCACTTTGGTCCATTCATGGAACACCAATCGGTAGTCTCTTACTATCTCCATCCCTCCTTGGCCCTCCCCTGATTCTTTGTGTTCTCCATTCCATTCTACCATTCCTATCCTCCCTCCGTTTGCACCCCTAAGCCAGTTTGAGCTGAATTCCTGAATTTTTTGTTTGATGTCTTTTCGCCTGTTCAGGAGTCGGATCTGTGTTCTGACACCGTTCCATTTTGCAGTTATTTCTATTTGGATCTGTTGCTGAACACTTGCTGTAAATTCAGGTCCAACCTCGCCCCCTCCAGCTCGAAGGTCCAGCGTCGTCTCCATAGTGCCCAGAGAATCACCCGTCGTCCCATCCTGAACATATTGCCGGTGAATTCGTCGAGCTGTTCTAGAGGGCCCTTGGGCCAGACTTCGCACAGCAAGGCTTTCCAGTCCCAGGGCCACTGGGCCTTTGTTTCTAGGTCCCACCATCGCCACAGCCAGAGCGCACCTGGGCATTGGAGAAATATGTGTTCAATTGTTTCTGTCTGTTTCCTAGAAGGGAACACATTTGTGCACAGCTTGCACCATGGGAGAGCAAGCCCTCTTTGTTCCAGGGATGTTCTATCTATCAACCAATTGTTTGTTGGAAGGCAGCGGTGCTCTAGCTGCCATTGGAGTGAGGCCAGTTTGGCCGGCTTTGACTTGGCAACCCTGAACCATCTAATTGGTCTCAGCTCCGCGTTGCTGATGTTCAGGTGATTTCTCCAACGCTCCTCCACCTGGTCACGCAGACTAGCCTTTGGTCTTAGGAGCTTGTAGGTTGATTTGACTGTTAAGGCATATAGTGATTTGGTGGATCTCTTACCTTGCCTTCTCGGGGTCGACCATGACCACTCCAGTGGATCCAGGGCTAAATGGTGAACGGGGGTACCCGGGTAATAGGCTATCCATTGTTCATTTTCATGAAGCACTCTGATTCTATATACTTCCTCTTTTTGGCATGTTATCATTTCTTGTGGAGTGCATTTTTGGATAACATTGTCTTGCCGCACCTGAGAGAGTTTCACTACCGTTGTTCCTTCCGGGGAGCAGCGGAACGACCTGTTTTAGGGGTTTACAGTTTCTTTCAAATGAATGAAGTTTACCCACCACATGCTTCTCCCACCTTGTTGATAGTGGTCAAGGATACCCCAGTTGTTTTCTTTTCTTTTCTTTTCTTTTCTTTTTAAACCACCACTACCTTTCTCACTAGGAAGCTAAGTCTCAAAAGTAGCTTACTCCGAAAAAGTCGGGGGCTCGGGGCAGGGTTGGAGGCCGACAATGCGAAAATGAGAGAAAGAAGGGAAAAAAAAAGGAAAAAAAGGAGGAACCTCTAATGCAGCAACATCGGGGAAGGCCCTCACGGAGGTGGAAGTCACACCAGTACTTTGAGGAATCTATCTGGCCTCTATGTGCGGTGCCTGATTGCTTTTGTTTTTGTTTTTTCTTTGTTCGTTTCATGTTGTTGTGGTGCCCTGCCAGCGAGGCAGGGCATATTCCATGCTACGGCAACTAACCACCTCACTTACCTTGTGCACACGCTAGTACTGTAGCATCGTGAATCCGACCGCAATCACAAGGTATGCTTTTTTTTTTTTTTTTTTTTTTTTATGAAAATATTAAAAAATTTTTTTTTTCTTTTTTTTTTTTTTTTTTTTTTTTTTTTTTAAACCTCTGCCTTTTCATAAGTTCTGCGTACCGCAATCTGATCCTTGTACCTGCGTCAACAGGGGAGCAATGCGCAATCTAATCCTTGCACCTTTGGTTTGATTGAACAGACCTCTTGGTCCATTGTTGTGTATATGGTGTCAGCTGGACCACGGCTCTCCCAGCCCCTACTCTGGAAGACAGGCCAGCATCTCCATTAATAGCCAATCTGACAGATTAGCAGTGTACAGTTATAGTGGTGCGCAGTTGTAGTCTCAGGCTGGCTGGCCACTCACAGGGCTGATTGAGAGAACAGGGGAGGGGACAGAGCGAAGGGAAGGGAGGGAGGCGGCAACGGGACAGAAGGGGGCGGCTGGGACGGGATAGGGGGGGACTGTGAAGGGGGTGGAGCGGGTGGTACGAGAGTTGCGGGAGGCGTGGCGGAGGGCAAAGGGGGGAACGGCAGAGGGGCAGGAGGAGGGGGATGGGACGAGGGAGGGGGGATTGCATAGGCGGTGATGGAGAGGGACATTCCCGGCAGTCCTGGGATAAGGCCCGGTCGTTATTGCTTCGTGGTACTTCGTCCAACGCTCGGTCCGGGTTTCCGGGAAGAGGTGTATGGAAGCAGTTCGGCGATCTGTAAGTCCACCGGTGGTCCTCCACGGCCCAGTTCTTCCACACCAGACTGCCATCGGGTTGTACTTCTGCCATTTTACAATTGGGGTCTAACCATGTTTGTGTAAAGGCCTTGATCGCTCGATGTTTGCCCTCCCTGTCTTGAGTTGCCCCCACCTTTTTTTTTAACTTTTGGCTAGCTCTCAGCAAATTTGCTCTGATCACTTCGAGTAGTTCTTGTTTGGCTTGATGGAAGCCGAAGTTACCTTCTTTGCGTTCTGCTGAGCAGGGCAAGCCTCATGTATTTAAAGAGGTTCGCCTAGAAGAGCGACCAAGCGGACGGAAAGCTTTTCCTGTTGCCTAATAGGATGAGGGCCACATTCCATTGGAAGGGCGATGCAGTGAGCTCATGCCACATCGCGTCCCACCATTGCCACACCTGCAGTGCCATTGGGCACGCCAACAGACAGTGTTCCAGATCTGCACGTCTGTGTTGCGCACCTTCCCCGCAGAAAGAACAAATGGGGGACATGACTTCTTCCTGTTCCAGCTTAGTGCGTGCTATTATCCAGTCTGGCGTCGGGAGACAGCGGTGTGTTATCTGCCACTGCAGGGCCCTGTGAGATGTCGGCATTATGTGTGCATATATGGGCCAAGGAATGTGGCACAAATCCCTATCTTGCAGTGGCCAATCCCTCCTCCATCTCTTTTGTACCACCATCGTGGAGTTGTGCTTTTTGTGCGCTTGTTTATAGCCTCCTCTCACCGTGTATTGCCAAATCTGTGTCGGTTTGCAGCCTTTCCACTCCCACTCTTCAGGGTCGAATGGGAGTGCACACACCGCGGTAGTCATTTCATAAGCAAAATAGCCTAAGTCCTCAGTCCCSACGACTCTTATCCTAGATAGTTCTTCTAGTGGGAGTATGCAGTCCAAATCATGGTTCCTTTTCAGCGAAGCCCAGCGCGCTCCCGGCATATCTGGTGCATAGGCCTGCAGCTGCACTCCATGGTCGGTGTTGTGGCCAACTCTGAAGATGGTCATAGGGATCGGATTATCGGTAATCCTTATAACCCAGTCTTGGCAGCGCACTGTTGGTCCATCCTCCAGGGCCGCCACCCAAGCGGGCAGAACTGCGCAGTGTATGGGGCCCAACTTCTCCTGAATTTTCTTTATATGTTTTAGCTTTAGTCGCAATTGTTCTACCGTCTTCCAGGTGCCTCTCTGACTGTCCCAAAGATCCCCCACTACGAAAAGGCCTTTTTTCACCCATGTAAGTCAGTGCGAGCCGGTCTGCAGAGAGAGGGGGGATCCGGTTTCATCGCAGATGTGCGGGTTTCCGAACAAAGGTTGCCGCCATATCTCTTGCCATCTCAACGGCGGCGCCTTCTTGGATGGCCCCATCTGCCTCCAGAGATTCAGCATTGTGATCCACATAGGGTCCTGTTTGAGGTCCCATCTCACCCTGTTTCTAGCCGTTCCGTCCCTTTTCTGGCGTGGGGGATTCGGGATGGACCATGTTGTGTTTGTGAACCACATGAGGGGGTGGACCGGAGTGTCATAGTGGGAGGGAGGGGCCAGATTCGCCAGTTGTATATATGCCAGTGGGAGCCATGGGAT